AATGCCTAAAATGTGCAGCCTGCCCAGCGTGCTCCTAGATGGGACACTAGGAGGACACAAGAACTAAAGTGTAGATCATCAGGCTTTCGCCTACAACACCAAATTTATCCCCACATAAAATGGGCCAGATTCAGGGGTAAAAAAATAACAGTTCTTAGGAAAGGCACTGGGAGAAAAGCATTGGAGGCAGCATCTTTTCAAAGATACTATTTTACTAAGTCTAATGTAACCCCCATGTGTCACAGAGTCTAACCAGGCACTGCAACCTGAATGTAGCCTCGTAAGTCGGTAAATTAACTCAAGTGAAAAGAAAACAGGGTCAATTCCAATTCATCTCTGATCAATTTGCTGACCTTATCCTTATGACAACTATAAATTTAAACTATATTATCCCCACAATCCTATTAAAGTCAGAGAAGAATGCAATTTCATCAGATGGAGTTTGACATTCAGATGCCCCAGGTCGCAGAGCACAAGCAGTGAATTTCTGTTTTGTACTGACTCACTTTGGGCCGCAAACATGCGAGTACAGTAGCTCCATATTTCAGTAGGATTTCATGAACTGCAAGCGTGGAAAAAGATAGAGAGCCATAAACTACATCTACTAATAGGTTTTGGCCCCTTGGTTGAAGGTGAAGAGTGGCAAAAGTCTGGTTCCGGACAGTGATATTCAGTTATAACTCAGCAATCTAATAGGAAGGGAGGTTTAAGAGCACTCAGAGACCACCAGTCACAGCTTTTACTTTTTAAGACATACAGAAAGAACATATAAAAAGGGAAACGAGAGGCGTGCTGGATAAGCCTGAGCCACAGGCCAGAAGAGCAGGGGAAGCTCTCAGACAAACATGTTTTGACCTTCAGCAGTTCCCCAGAGTTTTACGAATGGGATCAAGGGGCTACAGACACTCAGTTCACACATGCAGGAGGTTCCTGTGTGCAGAACCACCTAGGGAAACCCAAGTGACCACTGCGCAACACAAAAAAAAGAGTATTTTTACACGGCAGAAAATTTGTGCTCAAAGAGATTAAGCAAATCAAACATGGGAAAACAAACTAGACACGGGTTTATAACTAACCATAACAACCTGGCCTTCTCCCATCCCCGTAAGCTTCTTTCCCCACTAAACACTCTCTCGTGCCTGAAGTAGCAACTTCAGTTGTCAGAGATTAATGTCAATACATTTAATGTATGGCTTCACTGATGAAGAACTTCATCTTCATTTCCATTCATCATCACGCCCAGGCACTTCAGCAACTGTTCCGACGGGAAACGCTGGCCCTGCCCGCTGTGGAGCTCTGCAAACCCGCTCCTCGTCACAGCCTCCAGCAAGACGTGGTGTTTGTGCGTGAGTCGCTGGGCATTTAGTTCATGAAGCAAGAAATTCTAAAGGGTTTGATCAAAAGTATCTAACAATTATGAATATGAAAGTTTGTTTTTACTACTAAAATCAAAGTAGTAGATGTAGTATCTGGAAATTAAACACTCATACAAGTCTCCTTCCCTCTTACCCCTCCAAACTGGGCCCTTGCCTCCCTTCCCTATCGCCACGTGCAACATGCACAAGACAAACTTGCAATCTAAAATTACATTCAACTTCTCCAGAGTTTTTTTTTTTCTTCAACTGAAGAATTTAACATTTTTTCATTGCACTTTGTTCATCTTGCCTCAGTGCGCACAACACAAATTTCATTATAGCTTTCTTAGTTCTAATCATTAGCAGCTGTTCTTCCTTACATCACGGAACATTTTAGAAGAATGTTACAGCTCTCAAGTGCTTTAAAAAGCATCCAAAAGTGAAATATATGCAGAGGCTATTTTTCTAACCATAAAAAGGTTAGCATTATCACAGAAGTGCCAAGATTGATTAGCTTCAATGACCCACTGAAAATTTCAGTTATACTAAAAAGAAAAAAGTATGTCTTGAAAACGGAGAGAAGTCAAAGTAAACTATGCTTTAAATTTCCCACATCAAAAGAATTGTCAGAGCAAAGCCACAAGAACTGTGCTGACAAAACAAAACACAGTATTTCCCTGACTGATCCTGAAACTAAGAAGAAAAACTACCTGCTGGTGTGGCCCATACTTTTTTTTTTTTTAAAAAAACCTTGTCTTGTTAAGTTAATTATAATACTTGAACCAGCAAGGAGCAGAAATTTGACTCAAGTTCAATCAGTTGAAATATTCAACCTTCAGCTCCTGCACCAACCTTTCCGTACCTAAGGAACCGTGGGATGCCTTCCAAATTACTTGCAACATTTGATAACATGCAGTAATGAAGTGTCCCTAATTTAAACGCTGTCTTAATTTGCATTTGCACATTGCATTTTCAATTTGTACCGTATCATTCACCTCCTCCATAACAGTAGCACATTTTCTTCTCACCACCTTCTGAATACTGAAATAAAGTCTCTTTTGCAGGCCAAAAGTGCTTTCCTATTCTGTATTCCTTTCCTCTTTACCCCTTAATTTCTCAATACCACCTCCACCTCCTCAATGCAACACTAACAAATGATTTAAGTCACTGGGAAGAATTAAGCAGCAGTGGTAGATTTTCAATTGCTTAATGATTTCAAATCCAGAGAGCGTGCCTTTCAAAAGCTGCACTTTAACTAATGTCAATTTTTGCATTCAATGCAGGAGTAACAGAGTGACATGGGAGGCTTATGATATACAGGAAGGTCAGAACAGATGACCTTTTAAATATATAAAATGATAAATACTAAACTTCATACTAGACAACTGTAGAAAAAAAATGACATACTAGGTAAGTTGGCTAGTCAGCATTCAAAACTGCAGTATTGCACAACCTACTGCAACACACGTCAGAAAACAAGAACAGAAGAGCTTCGTGTTGTTGAGAGAGACAGGAATCCACTGACAGGATCCTATGAGCTCCCCAGGGACCAGGCTGAAGAGATGGCTTGTGAATTTGGCATTCCTACACGCAAAGATCACCTTTCTGTTCTAGTCTCTTAACCCTCCTTTCTCCACTCACTCCCTCTCAGCATCATCTCAGTAGTTTATTTACCCATTTCTGCCACAACTATCCAACAAACTTTCTTTTGCAATGCTTGTTTCTAACAACATTGGTCCTAAACTGGTCTAAATGCTGGACTTACTAGAAGGGTCCATTTAAAATTCCTGCCCTAGTGTTGAAAATAAGGCTAACATTTCTTTTCAGTCCATTAATGAAAACAGATTTTGTGTCAACACTCAATAACCTATCCCAAATCAAGAAGTGTCATCAGCAAGACATTCAACTGCAGGTAATTATTTTCCTGTTACTACAGCACACACAAATATATTCCAGATTGCACTTTAATGTTTTGTTTGTTTCTAAAGCTTCAGCTTTTGGTGGATACCATAAAAATCAACAGGCTAAGAAAAACTTACTTTTCAGGCTACATTGTTGGGAAACCTACTGGAACAAAAGCTAGAGATAAGTAACAAATTTCTACAACCCTCCACCATTAAAGTAAAAGAAAAGTAGTATTTCAGTTGAGAAATTTCTTCCACAAACAGCAGTAAAAACACCATAAAATACTGTAAAAGGCAGAGTAAAAAAAGAAATCTCATTCTGCAAACATCCAATTCAAGGAAGGATCACATTTCAACCCTAAATGAAAGCCTCAAGTAACAGGACTTTCAAAACTGCAGCTAATACCTGTCCTGCAAACACAGTACCCTATACATGAGCCAGGACTTTTAAACTTTCCCAGAGGTTTAAGCAGCAGTGCTCCTTCTACACCCAACCTCACATCAGCTACGCACTGCAGGAACTAACGGCAGCAGCTCAGGAAGATTTACAATTTATCAGAGATCATGCAATTCCAGATCAGCATGCAACTTCCACAAATACATCTGCAAATCGAGGAATTACGCATTTCTACAAATCCAAATTTGTGAAGTCCAAAGTCTGGACTATAATAGAATCCAGTCAAAAAGGCAACTCCTGATTTTGCCAGCAGCTTTGGCTAAAGTATGTTTTGGCTTTCAATGTATCTTAATGTAAACAAGTGTCAGATCCAAAGGCTTAAGACAGCTGTAAAGATCCATTTTTAGGATTAACTGCCTGCTCTTTTATCTGCCTTTGTTACAAAAATATGTTTGGCAGCAACAATAGGATTGGGGATTTCACTAGAGAGACCTATTGCTCTGATAAATGATTTGTAAAGAAGCCAGTGTCAGAAGATCACTCAGTAGTACAGCCTACTAAAAGTCTGACTAGTACTGCATAATATAAATATGTGTGTGCATATATACATATACATATATATATGAAGTGAATACAGAAATTATAGCATTTTCCAGAAGTCACGAGGCAGATGCATTATTTCTTCACCCAGGCAGTTGTTACAGCTGAAACACATGCTCGCTCTTCCTTCCACTGCAGATCTGAGGGGAGGCTGTCACCACAAAGTTGGTGCTTGGAGGACACTAGCACTCCTGTTAACAGAGAAAAGGAAATGCCAACAGGCTTTCAGCAATAGCTCCCAAAAGAGCAGAGAAGGGCAGAGATGTGTTTTCTTTCTCAGAGTCAGTCAAACACCAAACAATTTCCAAGAGCATCTTCCAAGCACCAGCTCATGTGCTAAGCTGCTCAGCCACCGGGCTGGGCACAGCCAGACACCAGCTCTTGCACACTGGACATTTGAGCTGAGGTCAGACTGGAAATGAAGCGAGCACTAAGGGCTATGACTAACACAGCCTCATTCGTATTCCTTTTCCAGCAGATCAGCATTTCAGGAGCATCTCAGACTTGCTCCTTCTCTGTGCTCTACCTACCCTTGCTAAGGTTCATTTTATTCCAGTAATAGTGAGATTAGCTGCTCTTCTCCCACCTTCTCTGGCAGCTGCACTGCCTATTACCACAGAAAACCAGAATGAAATGGACTGTTTTAACTCACACCTTGTGGCCTCATTCACACAGGGGACAGACGTGACAGGAATTACCCTGCTTTTTCTGCTGCTCAGTTGTGTCTGTCACTTCTCCCCGCTGCTACGTGCGCTGTGGGGGCTTCACGAGGCGCCCCGCGCTCTGCCGGGCGCTGCCGTCCCCGGCCACGGCCGAGGCCCCGGAGAGGCCGGCGCTCACGGCACGGAGCCGGCAGGGCCGCGTCCCTCCCTCGGCACAACCCGAGGGCTCCACAGAGGCCTGCGCTGACAGTTGGGTATTAAACAAGCCCAGGGCTTGGGCAAGGGGAGGAAGAGCTGCCTTGAGAACAAGCTGCGAGCCGCCCACAGGAGCAGCAGGGTAAGGAGGATGAAAGGCAGGAGGATCTCCAAGACTTCCCCCTCAGGCTGTCTCAGAGCAATTTCTACCTCAGGTTCTCTTGATTCTAAAAAGGCTGCAGGTTATTGCCATAATTGTTCTGTTCTCCTTTCACTCATTCACCACAATTGCCCTCTGCAGAGTCTGAAGCCCAGAGGCAGTAGCTGGAGTGCAGGGCGGCCACCAGGCTCCTTCCCGCTGCCACTCAGAGGCTTCAGGCTCCTGGAGTCGGGACAAACCCAAATGTCACCCAAGAGAGAGGAAACATATCCACTCCCTGCCACTAACCAGGCTTCCTGCGACCACTGGCCAAACTCCCTGCACGTCTACCACGGCGCTATCTGGAAAGGGTGCACTACAGATTTTCTATTTTAAAATAGTAATTAACTTACAATTTGTATGTTTGTAGTATTGCAATGAACTACAGGGGACTCATTTGGGCTAACAGCTGATAAAGCACAGCCAAAACCACAACTTGTTTTCTTTAATGAAGTGGTTCCTGTTAAAAATTACACATTGCAGACAAGTTCAGAAGACCATTCAAAATGTTTTTGTTTTGTTTTTAAACAGCAGCTCCTGGAAGTGGCAAATGTCTGCATGGGAGAAGACATCCAAGCACACAGCAGAAGAGCAGTTTTCCCAGTTTTAACTACAGACTGTACCGACCAAAGCTTGGAGACTCTGGATATGCCCTCGCTAGGTGGTCTGCTTTATTGCTATTTCTGGAAGGAGCATTTCCTTCGAAAATTAGTGCTCTATAATTTCAAGCAGCATTTCAGTCTCAGCACTCAACATGGAGAAAATTTCAACTTGAGCACTCAACACTTACAGAATTTGTGGACATACATCCACATCATCATTACAAAGACTTCCAACAGCCATTGCCTCGGATTCAGGCACTAATCATTTTAAAATGAAATTGCAGCATTTTAGAATTGACAAATTCTGTGTATTCAGAGAATATTGATTAAAACAAGGCAGCTGTAATGAAGAGCATTTGCATCATTCACTCACATCTACAGAGCTACTTCAATGTATTGAACTAGCAATATTAGCACAGCAAAACTGAGCGTAATACTGCAGCCTCAAGTAACCTACAAGAAATATTTTAACAATAGATATTTTAGCAAAAAAAAAAAAATCTGACTCATACAAGACTTAATATTTCTTGAAATGCAAGACCATGCACCTCAGTCATTTCTGTGCCATTCAATCACAAAACAAAATGCTCATCAGAGCTTGAATTCAGACCAAGTTCCGAAACGTTAGCATGCAAGCAACACTCTGCAGGGCCAACATTGTTCTGCACGGCAAGAACCATCAATCTACCAAAAACATCTTTGCTAAGGAACAGGTTCAAGCCTCATGCTGTTAAACACAGGTTTCAAAGTGCTTCAGCACAAGATAACCACAAAAGCACACGGCAAAACACGGCCTTTTCTCATTAGGACAGGGCACGGTATGATACTACAGCGGGTGCTGCAGGGAAGTGTCACTTCCTCCAAAGACAAGCAGCCCATTCCCACTAGCTGGCAAAGCCACTGATCTATGGACAACCTTCACATGGGCACCACAGAGCCTTTCCTCGTTCACAACACGACAGGCTTTTCAAAGAGCTGTGACTAAAATCTCCTACACACTCGGCCTTCTTCTACACTGGATTCTTACTTACAAGGGGGAAAAAAAAGGATTTAAGATACATGATAAAGGCAGATTTTAAAAACAAAATTCGTACATGTCATTTTCTATCTAGATTTTGAATGAGATTGAAAATATCCAGTAGGATCATTTTGTGCTGTGTGCATTGCTTAAGGGATATACGGCAGCTATTTGCTTGAAATAAATAGCTGAACATAAGTCCCAGAGACAGAATTTCGCTTGAATGAACATAAGTGAATTTGCTTGAATGAACATAAGTCCCAGAGACAGAATTTCAATCCTGTAGAATTCCCATTTTTCCTAATCACCACAGATGTTGACACAAATATCTGGAATTCTGCCTTACAAGGTGCAAGAGTCCCTCTTACATTGACTTTTTCATACACTACAGAAGTTTCTAATAAATTGCTAAAAATAAATTGAAATTGAAATCATTAAAGAATAAAAAAATAAAGACTGCAGCAAACAAAGACCACTAAAGCTGCTAACCTGAATGAACAGGGAAGAAAGATTAAAGAAGGATTAAAAAAAGCCATCTACGCCTCTGGGGTTTAAATAGAGTTTTTACAAAGGACTGTATCAAAAGCTTCTGTTAGGCTTCTGATACACCTAGCAAGCAATTCATGAATGTTTTACTTGAAAATAATGACGCCGGGGAGTTGAAGATCCCTGTAATCTCAAGAGCAATGGCTGTCCAAGAATACCAAGAAATGATTTTGCTGGTATTTTGCTGGCACCCTGTACCTTGTCCCTGAGTTTAGCACTGTCTCTTTGTACAGCACATCAAAGTCTTCCAGAATTACTTTTTTATTTTTTAATTACAAAAAAAAATAACAATAATACTGGATGACACTGCCATTATTAAAAAAAAAGTTTTGGTTGTACTTAGGTTATTGAAATTGCCTGGAAAAAAGATGAACTTACCTTAAAATTTTCCATCAGCTTTATGGACCTTTTTCAGTTTTCACTGCTGAGCACACACTGAGGCTCTGCCAGCAGCTTTCATTTTCATTCATGGTTGATAATAGATATTTTTTGTAATGCACAGTGTTCTGGAAACACTTTGGCTAATATCTAAATGTAGATACCTAATATCCAATGTAGACATCTTTGGCTAATATCCAGTGTTCACTTCACACAAATCATGACCTGCTGTAACTCAGCTAGCAGCACCTAAGCACACTGGTACTAGGCCTACACCCTCAGGCACTTAGGCCCTGTAGGAATGATAACTTATGGCGTATAATGTATCACAGTATTGACTTTTATTTAACTTAATTTTAAGTTTTATTTAACGATATTTAACTTGAAGATCACCAGTTTTGCATGGTTCCCCTGCAAGGCCACCAGCCTCTTTCCTTCTCTCTCTCAGCTGAGGAAAAATCACGTAGGAGACAAAGCCACCTGCTTAATATGAATTAACACATGAGCAGCAAAATAAGAGCCAGCAACAGGAACTAAAGACTGTCCACTGAGAGGGAGCAATACATAACCACAAGATCATTCAGAATTTATGTCATGGCACGGAACTGGAGGTCAAGTTCAGAGAGAAAAGCCAGCGTAAGCTGAATTGCAGCTCTGAAAAATGATCTCCATTTATCTGCATGGTAGCATCTTTCTTCCCAACGTTACAGAAGAAAAGCCTAGAGAACTGTGGGCTCACTTTGGTGTATACAAAACTCTGTCTCCTGGATACGTTTTCTGTACCAAGTCGCGCTACAACAAGCGACCAGTTCCTGCCTCCTGGCACAGGCTCCACATCATTGCTATCTAGGGAGATTCACCCTTATCTCTTCTTCCCTACTTTCATAAACAAGTGTTTACCCAGGTCACGCTGTTTCAGTTCAAGATGTTCACAAGTTTGTAACAAAATCTCATCCTACAAACTTGCTAGTTAAATATCCTGTATTCTAAAAGAGAACGTTTGACAGCAGAAGACAAATCTGACAATATGTGACATTTCTAACAAGATGACTAAATCGGTGAGTAAACAAAGCACTACTGCAGACTTAATCTTTGCTCTCAGATGAATAGTGCTTAAAGTTTAAGAAATACAGCCTTTGCATTTGAAAATGTAACAACTAGTTTCATAAAATCAGCATAAAAAAAGTTTACAACTAGGGAACGTTGAAAGTCCTTGCAAAATCAATACAGTTAAATGCACTTGAAATGAATAATTTCCAGATGTTAGCAGAACAGCTGAATAATACTGCATATTTGCTAATCGCTCTATGTACACAGCTGACCACCTCTTTTTAAGCATAAGAGTATAAGCACTTCCAAGCCAATCCCATGACTTATGGCACCATCTCCTTTGCACCCCGGTACAAGGAGCAGTAGGTGCTGCCTGTGCTCAGGAGTCGTTACCACCCAGGGAGGCTCAAGGCCAGTGTTAAACCTGCTCTTGCTCCTTCTTAGACTGGAGGGGCTAGGAGAGACACAGATGAGGTGATGGGGGGTTGACAAAAGCACTCCCTTAATCATGCTGCATGCTTTTTATTAACAAATATTGCTCTTAATTGAAGGAAATTAAAATTACGTGAGTTAGAGAATTTATACTAGGCAATATTTGCAGCATTTTAGAGCTCCAAGGAGCACAAACCTGAACATCTAATTCTTCCCTACTAGAATCCACCACCTCTTAGTAGCTCAACCAGCTACTATATTTCCTGTATTTCCATCATTGACAAAACCTGCACCTCAAAAGAAAGTTCCCATTTTCAGAAACATGCTAAAGTTCAACAAGAGCAGGGGACTGTCTTGCTGTCACCATGCAGCAAAATGTAAGAATATTAAAGTTGCAAAATTAATAACATAAGTTAAAAGTGTCAACACTTTTAGTTCATTCTTCTTGGGCATATTCCTACAATTAGATGATCACACCTTTTTTCCTACCTCATTTAGTAGAGAAGAACAGAGAAGAGATATAGAAAACATACCTGATCCAGCTAAGAGCATACTCCACTCTCTACTCCTAGACTCTGCAGCATTTGGCACTACTAATTAATGCACTTCTTCATTGCAGAAATATGGCAAGGGTTCAGCACACTGCGCTCCAACTGCTTTCCGAGTCCTTCCTGGAAGGACACTCCATAATACAGCAATATGGGAGCTGCACTTGGGATGTGAGAAATGAGGGACCGAGCAGCCCAAAAGGATCGGTTCTCTCTCCAGTTCTTCATATGAACTGGTTTAATGCAAAAATAACACCTTCAAAGCTCTTATCCAGAAAATAAACAGATGTAAAAAATACCAAGTTTTTAATATATTTATGTATATAAAATATGACGTCGAGCTATATATGTAAAACAGTGCACAATTTCCATCCCATTCATTCTTATATTAGAACATTAAAACCTTCACTTTTCTATTTCTATTAAAAACTACATCATAAGCTGAAGGTATTTCACATTTCTGTCAATGACTTCCATATTAACGGAAGTCAGTAACCACCACAGGAATGGGTGCCTCGGACAAGGTCAGTTTCCAGTTAGACACCACATGCTCTTCATTTTGGCTTTCTAATAGTTGCATCTTCCACAACCGCAGCTTTTATGTAAGACATTATTTAAATGTTATCTAAATTCCTAATGATACAAAACTTTCAATTTTTCACTTCTAATCTGCAGCAGCCTAGAAGATTAACTAAACATTTCATAATTATGCATTTATGTATAAATAACTTCACATACGTGGTCTTCCCACACTTACATAGCAAGTGCAGGAAAAATTAACCCTCAGTGCAGTTTATTGAAAATAAATCAAAGAAAAATTCTGACTTGCCTGAGCTTAAACTAACCTATAAATGTTTAATGCTGAAAAACTGTTTAAAGGTTACCTACCCACTGAAATCCCCAACCATGAAATTTAAAGATTTTATCTCCTCAAGAGCCAGTGCGTGTGGCCTACACATAGGGAGGGAGGTGTTAAGTTACTGCACAATTATTCATCTTCAATAAAGTTAGCCTATAAACTGGTTTATCAGCAATTTACCAAAGGAAAAATGCTGCTTATAAGTGCAGCAAGCAGGCTGAGCAGTCTAAGTTTAGGGGTGAGGCCTCTATCTGTTAAATAACAGCACAGGAAGTTTTAAATATCAGTTGGAAAACTAAATGCTTAACAGAAGGCTCCTTTTGCATGCATATAAATTAAGAAAAACACCTTTCTGAAGCAGATGGCCATTTCACTTGCTCTTTACTACAGTTTTAGTTGTTAAGTAGGAGAAGACACAAAAACCCCCACAACCTCTACTTACCAAATTCATTTTTTCTAAGCCCCAAAAAAACCCTTACTATAATGTTGTATTTAAAGATGAAATAAAAACGACATCTCTCAGAACACGGAGTAGAGGAACTCTGGGATATCAAGCTACTTTCCAAGGAAAAGATCTATATGAGTACTTTTAATAACACTTTAGAACCAGCTTTGCAAGAAGCATCCTCTCTCCCTCCATGTGTCTAAACATCTCGTTAAAACCTTTGATGGAAAGATTACGTTATTGTTCAAGATCATTTGTTAAGAGCTGCTTTAGAATGTGATGCATCGTCCATTGCAGTGGGTTTACCAGTGCCACAGACTGCAGCACCCATCAAAATTTTGACTAAAAGTTGCAGCTATTTTAGGAAGGTACAAGCAAAGCAGTAAGTGAAAGAAAACTGGCAACATTTCCTAGGTATTCAAGTTGTTATTGATAAATAAAACCAGTTATTTAGTAGGGCAGGTGGGTATTCTTTAATTTTGTCCTTTTCTTCTTCCTTACCTGAAGCCTGTCCAATATAAAATCATCAAGATTCATTAGCTTTACTATAATACGCACTTACCAGAGCTGGATTGTCTTTAGTTTCCACACCAAAAACATTCTGTCGTTTCACTGTCAGCAAATCAAGGTCTCTAGCATCATCATCATCATCATCATCATCATCAAAGAACCGCATGGAGTCTGCACTTGGAACCTTGCCCAAGACAGGAGCCGCCGCCTCCTCTTCTGCCTCCGATACCTCTTGCGATTCCTCCTCAGACTCACTGTCACCAGGACCTTCACTGGAAGAAGGATATTCTTCATTTTTTTCCTTTGCGTCCTCTTCAATAGTCTTCTCAACAGATGCCTTTCCACTGAAAGCAGCTCTGGATTTCTCTACTCCCTCTCTGCTTACCGAGGAGCTGGTATTTTTATCTTGCTTTGTCTCCTTCAAGGGATCTGTCTCTTCAGCGGTCGCATTCACCAGCAGCTGCCTCTGGGCTTTCTGAAGAAATCTCACCCGCGGTGCCACCGCAAGGCCAAGGGATCTAAGGAAAGAATTAAATAAATGCTCTGAAAGGTTGACACAAATCAAAATTTGACTGAAATAGAAGCCCTCACCAGTGGCTCAACTGCTTTGATTTTAATTACGGTAATTTATATCTATGCATTTTGACCAACATCTTTATAAAATGGATTTTTTGACACATAATATGATATTCTACCTTGAAAACACAAGAGAACATCAAGGGAGAAAGAAAGATGAAATAATGGAGAATAAAAGACTAGGAGGATAAGAATGACTAGGAAGTCTACCAAGAGAAGACAGCAAACAACCTCTAAAACTAAAAACAGGAGCATACTAAATATGGTTTACAATATGATATGGCAGAAGAAAAACCAGTACAGTTTTTCGTGGAAAATACACGTGTCATGACTGAGGTAGTGATGGTCCAGCACTATCCAAACAAGCACAATATGAAGGAATGACTAATTGTAGAAAGAGTCAAGAGCTCTTTGTCCCTTATCTGTCCCTTGAAAGGAAGCCCCGCTGCCTGTACCCCTTCAGAGAAGGCACTGAAAGGCTTTGATCTCCGTGGCACTAACACAGCCAACAGCAGCAATTATTCTTTCACTCAGTTATTCATGACAATTCAAAGTCTATTAAGACTCCAAAAAGGATTAAAAATTAGCCAAAAACAAATCCATGCAAATATTATATAGGAATAATACCAGACAGCACTGCATGGGAACTGGTCTCCAACTAACAGCAACTACCAGATCATTTTAAAGTAGCTGACTTCAGTAATTTTAATCATTGCCCACTAATGTAAGTTCTGACACCGCCAACACAAATTGTAGAGCAACAGTAAAGTCTCTCCCTGATTTAACGTGCCTCTCCATTAATGGAATAAGAATACAGGGGAAGACTTTGGTACTCTATTACAAACACACACAGGCCAGAGCTGCTTTTAAAAATACACAACAGAGAACTCCAAGCGTAAGGAGCGCTACTAATACTTAGCAAATAGGCAAAAAACTTAACTAAAATGTCCACCTAGACACATAACAGGAAGAGAGGACCAATAGAAGGTGGCACTGGTAAAAAGACATTAACAGACAGACATATAAATGTACTTACATATATACACACATGTATATACATATATGTACACACACACACAAATGGAAAAATCAGCCTGTTTCAATTCAGACTGTTGGACAGTTATACACCACCTCCTCCATCCAGTGCTGCCTGCTTCAAGCACACAGCATTCTGCCTTCCAGCTGCTACACAGCTCTCTAAATAGAGAAACCCAAGTTGCATCACAGGAAAAGAATCAACACGTAAAGGCTCTGACATAAATGTCATTAAAAAACAGACCCTGAAGCAGCCAAAATTTTATTGCAGAGCAGCAAGAGGGGACTGGAGGTCCTGGAGTTCTTGAATTGCTGAGAGCTGCCAACGAGACGGAGCAGTCAACAGGAGGGGCATCATGCTCAAAAAGCAACAAATGCCCCCCAAAATTACCTGATACTGTTTCTCTTCAAGCAACTAACCTTGAAAGCAAATAGATTTTTTTCTTAAATCATTCAAGGTAAGTTTTCAGTACATTTTGTGCATTTAGTGAGTGTGCACTGCAGAAAAGATGTGTACACAACACATCTGGGGACTGAAAAGGGAACAACAAACAATCTTAAATTGTGATAGCATTTGACAACTAACACTACCTTTGTAACGAAATTACACATTAAAGTTTGGCCTATTGACTAACGGAAACAAAAATAGTCAAACAAAGTAGATTTAACAGTTCACTGCAGCAGATGGAGGGACTCGAATCAGGAATTAAGCCTCAGTGCCAAGCACAGTAAAATATGTATAAAGAGATTACTGTAACCTCAGTGAACTTGCAATCTCCCTCTTCCGAAAGGGAAGGGAAATGGGGAAAAAATACTATCTGCAAGAGATAAACAAATATCTTTTCTCTTTTCCAGCTTTTGTAACATTTTGCTACAGAAGTAGCACTTTTTTAACTCTACAAAGTTAGAGTTGTTACTCAAAGTTACTGTTGCCAAAGTACTACAGGTGACAGTTGTACAGCACCTGAGTTCACCTCTCATACACACACATATATGCACGTATATATATATGCACGTTGTCAGCACTTGCACATCTCCAAAGCTAGAACCAAGCATTTCAAGTATGAAAAGGGTACCAAAACACTTTTGTCTCTTCAAAGAGAAGTTAAAACATACAAGCCAAAAAAGACATGCCCATAAGAAAGGGAACTTCCAAAACACCTTTGCTCATTCAAATACAAAACCCCATCCACCAGACTGCTCATCTGCACTGCTGCTTTACTTCAATAATGGCATAAAATTGGTAATGAGTTAGAGTTCATTTTTCCATACTATACAGCAACACTGTCAAAAAAGACCAATGTTATCAGAATTCAAATCATTTCCAAATCCAGAGAATTCAGCTTTTGAACATTTTTGGGGTAGAGGCAGAGCAGGCAGGGTGTCTTATTTTTTTTTCATTTAGTTTTAAGAAACTACAAGAAGCTAAGCTTAAATAACAGCTATGCACAAACAATCCCACAAACGCTTATTATACAACTTCAGAAAAATAATCAGTATTTTGACTCACTATTAGTTCTTTTCTAAAGTATATTCCAAATTGAGAATTGTTTTGGAGAAATATTTTTGAGAAGCTACTGCTAAAAGATGCCTCCCATGGTAAGATTCTGACAGTTTCTTTAACATTTATTCCTTCAGTCATTTGTCAAATCTAGAGTTCAGTCATACCAAAAAAAATGAATATATAAACCAGCTTTTCTTCCCTTCAGCTCTAACAGGCAATGTCAAATTTCATTTATTCATAAGCTGCCACTCAGACTACAATCCTACTCAAACTGAAGGTACAGATATTCTTCTCCTGACTTTCATTCTAGCATATGCAAACTCTTCCAGAATAAGCAATATGAAAGATTTTCTCACGCAAAAAGAGGAAAAAGCATACAAATTACCTAGTGGAATTTGTTAAATTCTAAACACACAACACTACAACCATACACAAAAAAACCCATAATGTAGGCCTCAGAGTATGAGGGTCTTAAAACTACAACAGAAACTCAGCTGACCAAGAATCCTCTTTCAAATTTGGGTGGAACGGGACGGCTTTTTTTGGAGACACACCATCAAAACCATGTTTAAAATCAGCGCTAGAATAATTATTTTCTGCTATAAACAAAATCATAGTTGAAACACAGAGTTCTCTTCATCTACAGTAACTGAAATGGCCAGACATAATCTCTAAAGTAATATTGATCAGGGAATGTGTAAAAGCACCTAAGTAATGCACGATTCTCAGATACTTCCTCCGATTCACAGCAGGTTGAGCATGATTTTCAGAAAATAAGACTAAAATAGAAGGTCTGCAGAAAAGGCTTTTTATTATAGGGCTTTAAGTAGAATACCACTTCTGTTTGCTATTGAAATAGGGAAAAATAAACAAACAATAAAGTAAACTTTTAAAGAACTAATTCAAATAAATGGTGCCTTCAGACTTAAAATGCAGCCAAAGATCTGAGGAAGTTTGCATTAATATAATTTTGATATTCCACTATTTGGATTGTTTCAAAAGCTGGGCATAGCTCTCAACTCTTTAAAAAGATGGGAGTCCTAGATACTTATACAGGGCATATATATATATATATATATACACACACACACACACATACACACAGCATATATATATATGCTGTATAGCACAGGGATTTTCTTTACTACAGAACAGACTATGATTTGAAATAGACCCAGAGGATTAAATACTACCACAAGCCATTTCAAGAGAAAAAAAAAAAAATGTTCATTGTTTGCCTTGCACTATACATTACACCCACATTCAAAAGGTTTTTAGAAGACAAAATGTGCAAATATTTCAAAGTAGGAGAAAGCAAACCAACTGAAGTAACACGTCTGAATTAAACAGCCATTCCAGATGGCTCTGATTAATACACAAAATGAATGGAGAAATTGCTTTTGCTCTGCCACCTGATCAGGTGAGGATCCTGCTTGCGATGAGCAACTGTGATTAGGACAATGTGCTTCCAAAAGGCTGTATTAATAACCACAAGGAGATAATCTACTGTATGTGTATGTTTCAAATAAGAAAGTTTTACATTAAAATAACTCTTAATGCTCCAGAACAAGAAGACAACTCTGACCCAAAGAGTCAGAGGCAACAAAAGAGAAGCACAGGCCACTGAAAAGAATCACAGAATCACTATGGTTGGAAAAGACCTTCTAGACCACCGAGGACAACCGTAAACCTGTTAAAACACCATGTCTGTTGAGCCACGTCCTTAAGTGCCTCATTTACACACTTCTTGAACACTGCCAGGCATGGTGACTACACCACTTCGCTGGGCAGCCTGTTCCAATGCTTCACCACTCTAAAAATTCTTCCCAATATCTAACCTGAACTTCCCCCAGCGCAACATGTCCAGCATGGAGCAACAAAGACGATTAAGGGACTGGAGCATCTATCTTATGAGGAAAGACTAAACGAGCCGGGCCTGTTTAGCCTGGAGAAGACTGAGAGGAGATCTGATCAATATGTATAAAATACCTGAGGGGAAAATGTGAAGAGGCTGGGGCCAGACCCTTCTCAGTGGTGACCAATGACAGAACAAGAGTTAACAAGGACAAATTGAAACAAATTGAAGTTTAAACTGCATAAGAGGAATATCTTCTTGATTGTGAGGGTGACAGAGCCCTGGAACAGGCTGCCCAGATAGGCTGTAGATTCTCCTTCCCTGGAGATCCTCAGTACCAACCTGGATGCCACCCTGTGCCACGTGCTCTAGGTGTCCCTGCTGGAGCAGGGGGTTGGACTAAATGATCTCTAGAGGTCCCTTCCAACCTCAACCATTCCGTGATTCTGCTATTTCCTCCTGTCCTATCTGTAGTTATTCTGGAGAATAACGCAGAGCGGGCGCCCCTGTTCCACCCTGCCGGGGCTCCTTCCCGACCTGGGGGCACCTGCAGCCACGCGTGGCCTCACAGCGCTGCTCCCTACGCAATACCGCTAAGGCAGAGAGGTGCCATTTTTTCTCGTGCCTCTCCACCATTTCCCAAGTAATTTTATCTCTACCTGCTTTCTTTCATCCTCTCTGTACCAGTGCACAGCTGAACAGAGGAACATACTGCTTCCTCCTCTGCTCTTCCTGGAGGACATCAGAGAAAATTACTTTGCTCAGCAGCCCCTTAGGGCAATTGCCCACTCAAATACACCCCCAGAGACTGAGATATATGTTAGTATTTAAAAGAAAAAAAAAATGCCTGAGGAGTATGATATTTAGATTCCCTTCTTCATCTTCTATGCAAGAAGAGAGAGCAACTAATTATGCCTTTCCCTCCTTTCATCTGTTTACATTTGTGTTGCAAGGCTGTCTTTTGCAGTTAAAAGACAAATTCCTCTTCTATCCTGACACTGAAGCTCTCCTGAAAGTACTTAAAGGTTGGCTCTGTAAAGACCAGCACAAGGCTTGTGCAGGCCTCCTCCAGCAAATAGCCTTACTTGTAATTTGTTATGAGGGAAATGGACAGAATACAAACGTATGGAAGCTTGAAGGTGATAAATCTCTAAGACATATATCTATATTTGAGGAAAGGACCACTCCTTTTCCTCAGGGACTCCAGCAGCAGAGCTGAAGAGAATCTCCATGCAGACAGGTCGTGCAAGCCAGCGGTACAAACAGCAGGCAACTGCCCCCACAGGCCAAAACGCAAACCTGACAGGGGAGTTGAGGCCTGTTTTCTCTGCAGAACCTCTAAAGACGCAACAGGCATCGAACAAGCAGTAAATCTCTGCAGAAGGACTAAATACATTGAGGAGAACACACAAAGAAGGTCAAAGGAAGAAAGGATTCTTATTCTAGGTTTGCCCTGAGTTTTGAATGCCGCATAACAGAGTTGCTTTTGAAAGCAGAATTCAGACATAACAGATTACTAGGGCACTGCAGATTTCAGACTCCTCAAGCTGACTGATCCCGCATATCACTATGGCATGTACACTGAATTGAAAGCCAGAGGATGGTAGGGTGTTTTTAGGTAGATTAACAGCCTGCAGAGTGGAGAAAAAAAAAGTGTCAGTGAAAAGAGTTCAGAGGCTCAGAGCAGAATTTCTAAATTGTCTCCTAGATTTAGTATCTTCTGACTTTTTGATTACACTTCCATATATTTCACAGTCCTAAATGTCTCCTCTACATAAAAACTTCATCTAATTTCTCCCATTTTAATACAGATATGACTTATTAGTAACTTAGCAGAGTCGAGATTCAAATCCTCTTTCATGAAGGACCAAATCCTGGCAACAATGTCAAAGAATGACTGATCTGTAGACTATTCTGCCTACATAAATATCTAATACTAGACGACACATCATGCTGAAACCCAGAAAAGAGACACTAGGATTCCTTAAATCAAGTACTACCACCACCTACTAGATGACTTGTTAATACATTGGTGAAATTTGTGAGCACATCCCACTAAGTCTAAGCACATCACTAAATCTTCTTGAAAAGTCTGTCGCTATCCCTTTCACTCAGCACAGAAAAGGCTTGTTCAAGGGTTTTGCAAGTTCCGTCTTTGAAAATTCTTCAGTTCATAAGATGAGAAGGCATTTTAACAGGTTTGGACAGTTTAGAAAACCATCAAGTTAATTACTGCACAGCACACAGCCCAGGTACTCTGCATTTGAGTAATCTGTGAATGTTCAAGTCACACCTGTATGAAATTCCAGAGACACAGCACCTCCCTCCTCCCTTCCAAATACCTTATCTCCCATGAGGTTACTCTAAAATTTAGGATTTTAAAATGGTCCCAGATGGTCAACATTGTTCAAATGAACCTGCCAGAGTTAAGCTCTCTCCCACACAAAACGTGAAATGTTCACATTTGTGTACAAAATACAGTAAAACATCCAACATTCGCCCACTGCATAAATGTTTTGTCTTCCCCAAAGCTTGCTTTTGTTTTCTTTTTTTTTTTCTGGCCTTTTTATTTTTTTTTCTTTTTACCTTTTTTTTTAATGTGATTTATGTTTAAGGAACAACATCCAAATCACATGTAAAATGAGGTTGCAATGTAACATCTTTACATATTTCAATTTCTCTTTTAAGCAATATACTAAATACGCCCACATTTAGCTAAGAGTCTGAAGGAAAAAAATATATTCTGTGTTCTTTTATTTCATGATTTCCATCTTTTGCATTGTACACAACAACTCTTGCTTTTGTTGCTTTTACTGTAAGTTTTTCTGCTTTGTAGAGGTACAGTGGGTTTTTGTTTGTTTTATAGAATTTCTATTTAAAATGTCTTTGAAAATAAGCAAAAGCACACCATAGCAATGAAACAGAAATACAAGAGAATGTCAGATGCTGCGTGTTAGCACAGTTAAAAGCATTAACTATTTTAAACCTATCATGCATGACGAAACTTTGCATTACAAATGTCTCAGTTTAAATACAACGTTTCCCACTGGTCATACTTACAGGGCATATTCTGCTAGAGGCAATTTGAAAACATCAAATACTTCCTTATTCTTCATTAAGTAAACTGAACGCAGATAGGATACAAAACACTGAAAGGAAAACAGAAGCATTTCGTGAGCAAACAAATCATTAATTGATCAACACATGAAGTATTATGGTCTAAACAAAACAGAATTCCAGTTCTGTAACTGGTCTAATACTGAGCTCACGCTGAAATTCTTTTACCCAATATTAAGATCTGCCAAAACATATCACTACACAAAACGGACTGAACTTCAAATATTCTAATATTTCATTAGAAGCACACTAAATTGGGTAAGTTTGCAGCAGTGCATCATTTTATTTTCTCCAAAACAGGAAGAAAAAAAAATCAAAAGGGATTTTTGGGGAGGTAGAGTGGTGGGGTAAAGTTTTTCTGAAGTTGGTTCAGAATTACATGGAAATAAGCAAGATTCTTGCTGTTACCTAAGCTGGCTTGACTTCATCTTAGCCAATGATTGACCAAGCAGATTCTGCTCAACTCTGCTGCCTCTCACTCACTGCAGCCTTGAATAATTCACATTACCTTGCATCTGCCACCAGCTAATTGCATATATGCAGCCAGCAAATACAGCTGAGCTGACCAACACAAACTCACTCACTCATATTAACTAATATGAGTCCAAGTTTGATGTTCCGTCTAATCTCAGACTTCCACGAGGAAAACCTGAAGTATTGCATAACAGGACAACTCAATCTTGTCTTATGCTTTCCTCCATCCTTACCACAGGGAAACAACCTCACTCTTCCGCATTTTAGAGAGCCTCGCATCTCTATATCTTTATGTAGTATATTTCTGTCATCAATGCATTCCTTTAAATGAAACTCCCTCTGTTGTCACTGACACATACTACTAGATAGATCCTCTTACAGCTTATTCCCATTCACACTGGAGTAAGCAAAAAGAAATCCATACAAAACCACTTCACAAAACTCCACAGCTTTCTCTTGCTGCCAAGGCAGAGAGGTTGCTGTAAGTTGCATTTAGCAGCCAGGGAGTCATGTGGTTTATCGCAATGCAGCACGCTGTGGTGGTTGTTTGGGGCACTGCTTGGAAAGTAGGCACGTGAGGAATCTATTGCTTTCCTTAGTCATTAGCAGAACTCTGAGATGGCCTCCTGTTGTCTGACATTCAAATTTATTTTTCCATTTTTCTGAACTACTTGTTTCTGCATTAATTACATACTCCTAATTTAATAAAGTTACCCTGGAAGAGTCTGGATTAATGAGAAACAAATATAAAAAACAACAACAGCAAAGTTGTTCTTTTCCTCTCCATTTAAAAAGGTCTGTCATAAAATATGCAAACATTAAAGCACATCCAATTGTTTTTAAGTTGAAATAAGAATTAATAGTTTTTAGATGAGTAAACTAACAGCTATTCTTTTGAAGTTGCTCAATAATCTTTGTTATTGAAGTAAATTTTCATGTTCTTGCTTACCCCAAAAGGCCATCACTTGGAAAAGTGAAGTTTCTTGACCCAATTATCGGTTTCAATTAATTTCAGGGGAGGACAATTTCAAAAAAAAAAAAAACACCCAGTTCAGGTACTATCAAGAATGGAATGCGAAGTAAAACATTCATTTGATCACATTAAATGACTAGCATCCTTAAAAAGACTTAAAATTCTAGATCTCATCAATCCTCTGCTGCCCAGCAGAGACAACGAATGGCAGAGCCTCTTCCTTCTCTGCAGGAACTGATGGACCAGTGGGCAAAAACCAGCAGGGTAAATAAAGGTCTCTCCACCATGAACCTGAAACTTAAGAGATTTGCAGATCTGGAGGTGCACATGGGGCACCACTCCACACAGTACAAATCTCATTCCACCTTCTGGATAACGAATCAAGCCATCCATCTACTTTCTTTTGCTCCTGCAGTCCAGAAACTAGTAGAAAATCGACAATCGATACTGCTCATCTGTTACCAACAGGGTCCAGCACGCTGAGGCTCAAAGCAATCTTTCAGGCCGGATATGGACTGAATCTGCATTCAGCCCACGGCGTTGCCTTCCCCCCGAGCAAAGAAACGGACATCGGCTGAGCGCAGCGTCCCACGAGGAGCCCCGGGGAGAGGAGCGCGACTGCCGCCCCAGCCGACCCGACTGCCAACGCGGCCAGCAGGGAAAGCCTCTCCCACGAGCTCACCACCAAGGCACAGGCAGAGAGATGGAGCACGAAAGGGATACAAGGGAGAGAAAGGCCAAATGACTTCAGCATTGCGGCAGTACCATAAACCGAAATCTGATTTACTTAGGCTGCCTTTGAAATATTGTCATCTTTTCTGATTTTATTCAGCACTCTTAAGACTCGGACACTCTTATGCATACAGACTAGACAGCTAAAGGAGGACAAATTTCATCAGCCTGAACTTCTTCAAATATTATTTTCTGCTCTACCAGTTCATACTATCCATTACTATTTTTGCTGTTTTGATATAACTTTCAGGTTTTTTTTTGAACTGAAAGTTACAGAAGTATCACCAGACGAATTAACTTACACCATCGTGGATGAGTATAACACTAAGCATTAGTATTTTACTGCAGGCCTATTACAGAAATATCTAAAGACATGTGGGCTTCATGCCTCAAACTTCCCAAATGGATTTTCACATTTGGACTCCAAAGTGATGGGTCAAAATACTTAGATCCTATGTCATCAGTACAATAAACAATATCCTAGCCAGACTTTCGTACCTATCTGCGCTGTGACTTGCCTGGCTGCTCCATCCTGGAACTCCAGGAGGAAATTTATTTCTTATAAATGTTAAGATGTTTCCAGCTTGAACAAGGCAGCGTAGACAGCAGAACACACGTCTTGGACAAATCCAGCATTCCTAATAGGGTTCCAAGGTCAAGATTTCTGCTGCAGTATTGCTACTGTTTTAATCAGACTGGAAGTTTCAGTATGGAGGACTACAGGGGGCATTTACATAGTAAACACACTATTAAGGGAGAGCACCTTCTACAGAGATCCACTTCTTATTTTAAGAGTTTCAAAACCTGAATCTATTTACAATTTGTTTGCAAGATCACATAGCACTGCCCTACATGTATGAAAAATGACAATAAAAATGGCTTACAGGGTAATAAAGATTGGATTTTTAAAATGAATTCAACATTTTATCTGTCACCTTGACAGAAGACCCTTGTTTGATTTCATCCTGCTGCTACTTTGAAGCTTTGCCATTATTTTATTTTGTTCAATTTCGACTGATCTTTCCCTCTTTAAGAGCTCTTAAAAAGCCGAAGTCAGAAACAGAAGGAAAAGGTTTGTTACTGTTTCCATTCCAAGGTGCTGTGGCTCCCTCCTACTTTGATCTTCCCCCAGGCAGCTGCCCTGTCACTTCTGACACCAACTGTGTTAACTGCTCCTGGCAGCAGATGCATCCCTGGGCAGCCTGGCCTGTGAAAGGCCACCATGAAGCCTGCACTGATATCCCACACGCTGCAAGTATTTGTGCACAGCAGTATGGCATGCTCTGAAGGCAAAACCAGTTTTTAAAATAGTCCCCTGAATATTCCTTACAAAATTTGTTCACAAAGCTCTCAGTACCTTCCCTAGGCATTTTAATAAAGTGAATTTTGGGGTTTTTTTTGTTTGCTTGTATGCTTTTTTAAGTATGTCCATGATCCCTTTCTCATGGTACCCTACCCATCAGGCACAGCAGAGTATCTTACACTAATCGAGAATTTCAGTAATCTTCTCCTTGAAAAGTTCTTATATTTATCAGGCTTTGGCATTTCCTGATTTCTCATCATTTGGCTTTCAAGAATACTCCTTAAAATTCATCTCTACCTATAAAAAATTGGAAATATTTTAGGAGTTTTTCTTCTCATCTTGTTTCCCTGTATCTTAATTTGAACTCCAGATCTTGCTAAAAGACTGCAGAAACAGTAGGCTGATACCAGCAGCGCTACAAGAATATGCTAAATTCAGCCTGAGATTTAAGCACAAAGAGCTCCCAATACAAATACAACATAAGACCAGGGAAAGGTCAGCAAACACAAATAGAAGAGCAGAGTAACGCCCAGAAAGGCTTTACTGGCCCCTTTCTAGGACAAGTATGGAAGGTTTCTGTCATCCCACTTCATCAGCCTGTTAAGGTCCCTCCAAGCTCAGTTCAAACAGTTGCAAAAGACCCAAAAACAAATACTAAAAACAAATTGCTGTGAAGCAGTAACTACTTGTGTACCGAAGACTCTAAAATGAGACAGTTTCCCACCTATGTCTTAGTAACTGTCCCAACAGCAGTAGGTCAGGTGGCTTTTCAGGCACCAGGGGCATGAGCCTGGGCCCAGTCAGCCCACACAGGCCTTACAGACATACTGACCATCAAGTGCTAAGACAGGACAATTGTTTCCACTGATGTAAGCTTTTAAAGATGAAAAAAAGAACAAACTGGCAACTCCAAGCACCGTTGGTAGGACACATATCAGCAGGCTGGTTATTGCAAGAGCAGTTCTCTTTTAACCAGCATGGCTCAAGAACTGAGCACAGATAACTCACCCTTTGAGCTTTCTCTTTTAACTCCTGATCTTGAGCCAAAAAGGCCTGCAACCTCTTTTGGATGTCTGTAAGCTTTTCAGGGTTGATTCTAATAAATTAAAAGAGAAAGGGAAAAAAAAGTTTTAATTACTAGAACATGCAGAAATAAGCACCTGTTAAATCCTGCTCAAGAGTTATCTTCATTTCCTCTATATTGTTTTAAACTGCATAACTGTTATTTCTCTGAACAAAGTTACACTGGAACTATATCCACAATGAAAGGCACATTCCTGAAATGAATAATATAGAGGAGGTCAACAGAAGCTCAGACTTCTTAATCCAGAGCAAGCTTTCAAGGAGGCGAAACTTTTTCAAAGACAAAGCCATTAAAATTAAAAAGCTTAAACATTAAAACATTTCCTGAATTCATAAAAATGCTGAGAAAGAAACAAAAATGTACAATGAATTATAGCACCACTCTACACTGGCAGCCTTCATAAGCAAATTTCTCACCATTTTTCAAAGCTTAAATACGATTCATTGCCTGGCAGTACCGAAATTAAAATAATTCTCCACTACATTCAGGTGAGCAAAAGTAAATTATATTGAGATTTACATGAGCAGATTTTTATATATATGATTTATATATGAGATATTATGATATAGCATATATCATACATACGAGCAGATTTAAGGCCTCCTCAAAGATATTGACCCAGTGAAGAAGCACCAGTTGTTGTATTAGAGAAAATGTTTTTCCTTTAATTTCCTAAAGCATCAAGCTTTACCACCCAGAATTTCCTCACTACTCAGATTTCCTGTCTCTGTCAGATGCAGGTAGAAGGCTATGGTAGAGGCAAGAGCATTTTGCTACTGCTTAGTCAAAGACCAAATGCCTGAGTTTGTTTCAGCAAACAGATCATTTGTTCTGAATACACAGATATCAAACA